CAAAGGCACGTGGTAATTTAACGACCCTTAACATCTCCCACCATTGTAACGATGGGCGTCAACACGAGCCAGCAGACTTTGAGCCACGGGCTGAGGCGGTATCCTATCATGTCCCTGATGTCGTCGTAGAAGCGTTCGGCGCCGTAGCCGTAGGCGATGGCGATCGACTCGAAGAAGCAGAACCACAGCAGGACCATGCCGCTGGCGGAGAAGTAGTCGAACACTTGGAATAGGTACATCCCTCCCTGTAAAACACGGAGAGTCGCAGTCGCCCGCGCGGTCAGCTGTTTCCCCCGTCGTCGTCGTCGGCGGCGTGGAGGCGCTGCCCCCCTCGCCCGCGCACCCTGACCCCCACACTGACCTTGGTGACCATGAGCAGGCCGATGAGGAAGCTGACGCCGCTGACGACGGCGATGAACACCTCCCGGCGGTGGCCGCGCCGCAGCACGCCGGGGAACAGGTCGACCACGGCGGTGATGAAGCCCTCCACGCCCACGAACTGCGAGTCCAGCCCCATCAGGATGATCATGAAGAAGAAGAGCGCCGACCACAGAGGGGCCATCGGCATCTGCGTCACCGCCTGGAAGAACATCATGGGCAACTCGAGGATTAGCCAAGGTCCACTAACAAAAAATCAGTGCACACCCTAAAAAAATAATCAGAAAAGTCAGAAGAAAATCGTTTTAAAAATCGAAATATCAATCACAACATATCAAGGAAAATCGATGAGACGCTTGAATTTATTGTGAAGTACCCCTGGGGTTTGTCCCGCGCACGCCCCGCCCGCACCTTTGGGTAGGCGATGAAGACGAGCCCCGGACCGGACTCCGCCACCTGGGCGATGGGGACGCCCTGCTCCTGCGCCATGAAGCCCAGCACGCTGAAGATGGCGAAGCCCGAGTACAGGCTCGTCAGGCTGTTGGTGGCCGCGATGAAGACGCAGTCCTTGACGAAGTTGTTGTGGTAGCTGTTGTACGAGCCCATGGCCGTCATGCAGCCCACCGCGATGGCGTACGAGAAGAAGATTTGCGTCCCTGCGTCAATCCACACCTGTCACAGTCACACACACCCCGACGCGGTTATCCCTCAGGTCTGACCTAGGGATTTTAATTTTATTTCTTTAAATGTACAGTATAGTAGATTTTTTTATTATTTCATTTTTTTTTTGTAGAAATATTTCAATTTTTGGGAGATTTATTTATGGAATAGTTTCGCATTTTTCCGTAACATTTTGGAACTTTAAACAAAATCCCTAGTCCGACCGGAACCCCCTGACGGCGCGGACGCCGGGGGCAACAGCGGCGGGTGGACTCACTCACCTGCGCCTCGAACAGCTTGTTGAAGTCGGGCTTGAGGTAGAAGATGATGCCGTCCACGGCGCCCTCGAGGGTGACGCCTCGAATCAGCAAGACGGTCAGCATGACGTACGGGAAGGTGGCTGCGGCGAGAGAGAGAGGGTCCTGCCGTCAGAGGAGACAGCCCCTGCGGGTCGGGAGCTAGGCCGCCCGCCCCACAGCGCTGCGCCCCGCGCGCGCGCCTTGCCTATGCCCGCGCCTGCACTCGCAGCACGCGACGCGCGGGACCTCCAGAAGTTTCATTCGCGTCGATGAGATTAACCCGTCGCTTGTTTTTGTTGAGTCCCCTGGTGCAGAAGGAGTCGCGTACAAAAGTTAGCACGTGCCCATGCTCGTGTTGGTTCACACTAGGGCGCGACTATAATTTTTTTTCCGCTTAAATTTTACGGACATCTTGCAAAGCGTCCACGAAAGCGTAGTATGCATGCTCCTCCATGCACCCCGCAGGTCCTCCATTCCATCACACATAGCGTTTCACGTCCTGGAACATGACGTGTTCCTTGAGGGCGAGAAAAACACGTGCATTTGCCGTCCTCTTTCCTCTGTTCTCGTGCCACATTGTAGCAAGTACAACGGTGCATCACAGAGGGCGTTCATCGAGGCAATTTTACCCTATCACCCCCTCATTTTTCGGGTGTAATCTAACTTTCAGAAGTGTGTGTGTGTGTGTATTCAATTTCGCCGACACCAACGATAGCGCCTGCCACGCGCTGCATAGGCCGACCCGCTCAGCAGCTGTGCGGAGCTGGCGGCCCGCTCCTCGGCGCTCTCAGGCGGGGTCTTTCGGGAAACCGGAAACGTCTGGCGGTCTGCGGCGCTCGCGTCACCTCGGCACGACGCACGAGCACTGCGGGGAGCGCGGGGGCACTGACACCGACCGACACCCCAAAGCTAGCGGCGGCGACAGGACGGCGTTATACCTGTGAAGTAGACGACCTTGCCCGACGACTTGATGCCCTTCCACACACAGAAGTACACCAGGATCCAGACGACGAGCAGCGACAGTGCGAGCTCCCACTGCATGCCACCGACATCATCGATTCCAGAACTCAGGCCCAACACCTTACGTCTGGAAGACGAAAAATAAAATTTAATAAAATAAAATTATAAAACATCAAGGATTATTGAAACCTAATTTCTGGTGGTTTTCTGCCGTTTTGTTTTTGAGCAGTTGTACTCACTCCCAATACTCGACGACGGCATCTACGCGACCCAGCTGGCCCGGGGCCGACTTGTTAGCGACGGTGAAGCACTTTGGCGTGTTCCACCAGTTGGAGCACGACGCCCAGGGCAGCTCCGACGAGAAAGAGTAGTAGAAGAAGTGCGCGGCCCAGGCCAGGATGACGATGTAGTACACGTTGAGTAGGAAGCAGACGATCGTCGTCCCGTATCCGATACCTGCAGAAAAGCGAAAATTCAATTTCGCAGAAAAAGTCTACTCGAAATTATTCACTTGGGAGAAAAATGACGCGTACCCTTGAAGATGGGACACAGATCCCACACGGTGATGCCGCCCTGGCTAGTGAGTTGTCCGATGCCGACCTCGAGGAAAAAGATGGGGACCCCGCCGGCAACGAGGCAGATGAAGTACGGGATGAGGAAAGCACCTGCGAGGCGTGCCAAGCGGTCCGTTTAGCGAACATGTCGTCCTGCTGACGTATCAATGAGGGGGTACTTCACTCAAAAAATAACAAGCTTCAGAAGTAATTCAGAAAAAAAGGCAAAAAATAAAAAACAGAAAAAAAATCAACTAATATTTATCAGAAAAAATCAGAAAAAATCATTTTAAAAAATCTCAAAAAAATGAAATAAATCCAGAAAAAAAGGAAAAATTGGTGCACGCTTGAATTTCGGCTTTACTGAAGCACCCCTCTCTTGGCCCATGCTCCCCCCAAACCGCTCACCCCCTCCATTCTTGTAGCAGAGGTAGGGGAACCTCCAGACGTTGCCCAGGCCCACGGCAAAGCCGACGACGGACAGGACGAACTCGATGGGCTTGTCCCACTTCTCGCGCTCGGGCAGCTCGCCGCCGACGCCGCCCTGGCCGGCGCCGGCCGTGGTCGGGCACTGCTTCTTCTCGTCCAGGGGCACGAGCTGGAACTCGTTCCCGGACACCATTCTGGGGCCACCCTCGCGCGCGAGTATGCTCACATGGAGGGGACCCTGAGCGCGGGCGCGCACAGTCGGGACTGGAGGCTGCTACGGGGCCGAAGGGACCGAAGGCTGCCCGGGCTTTGCAATACACGCCTCTCTCTCTCTCCCTCCCTCCCTCCCCCGTGCCGGGTTGGATCGCCGGCTGGACCCCTCTCCGTGCGCTCATTGTCTCCCACTTGATCTAGACCATCCAGCCAGCCCCGCCACCGGTCCCCGCGTCTGGTCTGGGGCAGTGCAGCCTCTGCTTGTGGGCCACCAGGCCGGCCGGGCCGGTCCAGGTGAACGGGGAGGGGAAGCCCCCCGGCCCGGCCTCTGCTGGCCGACCGCGACCGCGCCCACTGCTCCGACGGAGGGTTTCTTTCAAGCCGCTCGGAATTCCCTCGTGTGTACTTGGAGCTTTTCTTTCGGCCCGGGTAGAATTCCCTCGTGTATACCCCTGAATTTTTCTCTTCCAGATCACGTGGCATTCCCTTGTGAATGCCTAAAAAAAATTATTTCAGACCGCATGGAATTCCCTCCAGTTCACCTGGAACTTCTTTTCTTTCAACGCGGGGTGGGTAATTCCCTCGTGCACAGTGGAATTCCCTCGTGCGTCCACCTGGCGGCGCTTTTCCTTCCCACAGACGGCCCCCCGCGGAGCTCACTTCCTCCTCCGCGTCCTGCCGGCGCGGATCACACGGTGTGCGGCAGACCCGCGCGCCGAGTTACGCCACGCCACGACGCGACCACGGCACCTGCTGCACTTTCACCTCGGTGCCTCGGTGCTGTGCACGTCAGGCGGGGGTATGGCGGCGGCATGCAAAAGAAAGCCGACGCGTACGAAAACCTTCGCGGGCTCGGCTGTGCCGACTCGCATAGATGTTGTATACGCGCCGGGGGGTGCCGCGGAAAATAATTTGGGCCCCCACGCGCGTGTAGCTGATGCGCACCGTCGTCGTTGCCTCTGTTTCTGCCGACTCAGATTGCGTGTGGTGACTCGAGCTGATTTCGCTGCCATGGTCCCTCCCCTAGCACAAGGAATTAATGTCGAAACGACATCGAAAAGATGCGCGGCGTCTCTCGCCGCATACAGACGCGTCGTCCTCGATGTGGTCGGTTCGATGTCGGAGCGTCGACACTTTACGATGTCGTTCCGTCATCCCACCGACGACGATGTCGTCCAAAGTGTCATTCCTCACTTGGGTCGTCTTTGTCATCAACGAGTTTAGCCGGCAGACACCTCCAGGACTAGTGCTCTCCCCCCCCC